GTTGTTTAATTATTTAATTATTATTATGGTTAGTAATTAGGGAGTGTAATAACATGTATGTAATATTAAAATAAATTTAGATCACTTTTAAATAAAGATAATTAAAATAAACACGTCACACACGTAAGTCGATTTTAATCGCCGTCTCACTTCCTAAGGATATCCCTCAAGTTGCCTACGAATAATGGTTAAGTGGGGTGTATAAAGCAAGTCCCTCAAATAAAAAAATCATCAAAGTCCCTTATGGTTGCCTTTACGAATCAAGTCCCTTTCGAAAAATTATGATGGTCCCTTATATGTGCTTATTACATCCCACAATGGCCTTCAAAGTCAAATTGTCCCTCACATACCCCTTAACATCCAAAGTAAGGACTACCTACTCCATTATAGTAGGGATAGTCTTACTAAAGGAAAGAATGAAGAATAAGAAAGACGTTTAAACATTAGGGTAGGTTACTCCTAGGTGCTTGCTCACTTCAAAATTGTTTCGCACTTAAACAAATTTTCAACAAGTTTTCAAACAAGTTCTTAACACATCCTTACATGGATTATTTATTAACTATTCTGAAAATTTTCTATTCACACACTACAATTTCAAAACAATTCAAAAGTGAGCTTAAGTACCTAAGAGCCCATGGATAACCATGGATGAAAAGGATGCTAATACCTTCCCTTTTCATAACCTACCCCCCGGACCCAAAATATTCTCTAAGGTTTTTCCTGTTCTTTTATAACCTTTCCTTATGGATAAAATAAAAGTCGGTGGCGACTCTTGCTATCCGCAACATTGTTTAAAGTCAGTTCACCGGGTTACAGTTGTTCCTCGAGATCACCCTTAGCAGGCTACTCTATATCAGGTATCATGGTGTCCCCAGAAAGGTCAACAATCTCTTTCTCGATCGGGTCCTCTTTTGGAGTAGATGCTTCGACGTGAGGGAATTCCACCACAGGAATGACTGGTGTCTTCTTGAGAGCATCGGTAGATTGGATCCTCTCCTCAGAACCTTTTGTCGAGCCTCTCGCAGAGGCCCAGAAGGAGTTATTGGATGGTAACTTGGATCACTGCTTATTGTCGGAATAAGTTGTTTCACCATGGGTTGACCCCTGGTGTCGGTGGTAATCTGTAAAGGAAAAGGCAAATAATTAGAGTAAATGATAAAGAAACTGTACAAAGTTCTAGGAGAAGTTTTTACCTTCGGCTCATCAGCCCCAGGACTAGAATTGTCGCTTTCAGTCTGTGTTACATGACTAGCAGGAGTTACTGTTGTCGAGAATTTACCAGCCTTTGGTTTTGGTTGGTTGAAGGATTTAGTTATTTTGGTTTGTTTCCTCCTCCTCTTCAAAGTTTTCTCTTTAGGAGGAGATTGGTCCTCCTCATCTGACTCGATGATGATTTGGTGGGAAGACCCCCTCGTTTTTTGTTCCTTGGGAGTAAGGGGTGGCCTTCGAGAACTCTGAGAAACTTGAGGCATCAGACAATGTGAGATTTTGCAATCAAGCAGAATTAAGTAAGAAATTTACCTTAGAAGCTTGAGTGCTTTCTTCTATTTATTCTTCGATTTGCTTCTTCTTTTCTGGGGCAAATTTAACAACTGAAAGTCAAACAAAATATTACAAGTAAGATGATAAGAAATCAAATAAGGGAATTTAGTTCGAAAACCTCACATTCCACGCCTTCATATATTTCGGATTTGATGCGAACATCTTCGATGCCGATATGAAGAAGACCTTTAAAACTGTCTAGAGTATGCTTAGTCGCAACCACCCGCTGAGCCTTCGACTGCTGGCGAAGGATCTTAATGGAATCCCCACAAATAAACCAATCTGGAAATGAAGGGGCAATGGCCACTCCAAAATTAGCATTTGGTAGTCGAGGAAATTTAATAGGAATTTTTTTGAAAGCTAGTGTGTACCGTTCCTTGAGAGGAACGAACGAATGGAGTTCCAAATTCTCCATTTTCTTTAAAAACATTTCCTTTAAAGTAAAAGCTGCCTCGCGGACGGTTTGGATAAGATCGTCTGGTCGATAAACAGTTTCAAAGTACTTCTGAAATGCTTGGATTTCTTTGATGTGTGTCATAGTACCTTTCTTGATCCTCTCCAGGACAGAGAGGAAAGCTTGATTAATAAGTTGAGTAAAAGAAGGTGCATCGAAGAATTCTTCAGCGTAGTACGTTGACCACCAGTGGTTGAACTCTGGGGTACAGTAGAAACAGGGATCGAAGCCAATGGGGATGAGTTGAGCTTTGCTGGAATAGCGGAGAAGATGTGTCGAAGCCATCTCCTCAGTATACTTTACACTATGAAGTAGAAAAGCACCTTTCTTTTCGAAGAGGCATTTGAGGAGTGCTTGGACCAAACTAAACTCTCAAGCCACCAAGTTTGGTTGATAAGCAACCAAAGCAACTTGAGACTTTGATAGATTCAGTCGAAGTGTTATCAACTTTGGGATCAAAAAGGCTTCCCAGATCTGTGAAGATTCTGCCTCTAGAGCTTTGTTTGGAGTTGGGAAAGGTCTGGTGAATCACTCAGGACCATGTTTTCTTGCAGTGAATGGGGCCATGTTCGAGGTAAACTCATGATGTTTTGCAAACATCATGACATAGCTTAGGAACATTGGTCTAATGGTCTGTCCTTCTTCGTGGGGAGTAAGCTGGACCAAACGTGTCCCTTTGATTCTCCTATTTCTGATCTCGTCAGCGGCTTCGTCAATCGAATTTTTGTTAGGAAGGCTGGCTTCGAACTAGGCATTCAGCCAGAGTTGCAAAAGCCAGAAAAGACCAAACAATACCAGGTTCCCCTTTGCTCCTAAGTCTTTGATTTGGGCTACCCCTTCACTTAGAGACTCGTAAAGGTTCCCCAAATCATTTCACTTAGGCAGACATCCTGGCCTTTGTAGAGTTGAGTGGCTAAAGTCATGTACCTCCTAGCCACTTGAAGGGACTTCGAGCAGAAGACACAGTGGGATAGCCACACGGTTAAAAATGTTATATGTTATCGATCAGAAACATCAGCAGTGGTCTTATCAAAAAAGTGCGTTATAAAATGAGAATAGGTGGCTTTTGCAGAGTTAAAACCTATGGAATCATCGGATTCCAAGTCAAGATCATATGGGTTTCCGGTGGGTTTAAGCCCTGTAATAGCGGCTACGTCGAAAAGCGTGGGGATCATCATCCCACAAGCGAGATGGAAAATGTAATGGGTACTGTCCTAGAAACACAAGAAAGTGACTAACATGGTTTGACAATAGTCGAGACTTATTTTCGAAAGCATAATTAAATCATAAATTCCTAGTTTTTTCTAGGTTTGGGATTTTACTTTTTATATCTTTGCTAGCCAGTTCATATAATCATTTGATTGCTTGAAGGAGGGTGTCGCTCTAAAAACTCTAAAGTTGTTATTCATATATCTTAAATCTATATTATTCAACACTACCGCATCAGCAGAGGCTTTCTCAACCTTATTTTTGTTGGCTTGTCCTATGGGTTTGGATTTATGGTAGGAAGGGAAAAAGTCCCTAGCTTTACTATGGTCATAAACCTTTGGAATAGTAAAAGACATGCAAAAGTCGTTTGAGGCGTCGAACGATACTATCAAAAAATGTCTTGTTCTTCATTGATGTCGAAAATGACATTTTTGAGGGGCAATTTGTTGGCTCCTAATTTCGACGCCTGAATAAAGTTAAAAATAACAAATAGAGTTTCCTGAAGAAATCTAATTACTTCGACCAAAACTATGTTTTTGAAATGAGAGTCGAATGCGCCCTTTCGCCAAGAGGGTCTATGTTATGGACTTAGAGATATTCCTCAGCAGTTAGAAGATCCAATTCGACAGAAGTATTGCTAGGGGTCATTTCGACGAGTTCGTTTGAATTCAAATAAAAGAGGAAAAATCAATTTTTAATAAAGACACGTGGAGCGCCCCTATGGTTCGAAGGCATGCGCAGCACCACTTGTATTGATTTCGTTTGTTAGCCGTTAATGGCAGTTATGTTCGATAGTTATAAATAGCAGGTCTTAGTGTTAAGATGTGTGTGTGTTCAATTGTGTACAAAATCTTCATTTACTCTAAGTATCCGTGTGATTGAGAGAAACGAGTTGTAAGAATGTACGTTGACTAAACACCAGTTTTTATTTCAATGCAATTTGACAAATCTTTTTATTTAAGAATTCATCTTTTCTTTATGCAAGTTCTTATCTTTGTTATTTATCAGCGTTTTAATTCCTTTTACTGTCGAAGTGTTCATAGTTTTCATGCACTTCAGTTAAAAGATCAATTAGCACGTGTCCTAAGATTTGTGTGGTCGATCTGCAAGTAACACATATCTCTTTTTGATTTGTCAGACCAGCGGTTGTTCATCGATTTTCATGGCGAACAGGTGAAAGCTAGTATATTCCCTGTTGTTGTAGAGTTAGATCCAAGGTGGAGATTTGTGAGATTTTTGGTGGAACTCTAACTCTGTCGAGAAATAGCTTTCATGTGTTTCGACAGGGGACAAGCATGAAGTCGAAGCTGGGTTACATGTTAATGTCGAAGGGTTATGTACTGTATTCGAAACTAGTTCTAATATGTAATGTCGAAATATATATTGTTGATTTATTATGTCGAATTGAACCTTATGTTAAAGATTCAATTATTTAATTAGTTTGGAGTGTAAATTAATTAGTTAATTTATATATAGACTAGACCACTCAAATTGTTGAATGAGACTAATTGTGATATTAATTTGTAACCAAAACTGCGACAAAAAATTCCTCTAAAAACCTCAAATATCTTATCACCCAAGTTGGAAAAAAACTGCCCGCAACTAAAAGCAAAAGACAAGCCAGGGGAGTAGTTAATAAGACGTCGCGAATATGTAAAATGCGTGTTCGTTTATAGGCACTAGTTGTCTGTAGTTCTCTGTAGTTCTCTGATTTTACTAGTCTCTTCCTATATAAACAATCTCACAACAAATATTAACACACTACAATTATACCACTAATCATTCATAAGGAGAGATGAAAATGATGGAAAAGAATGGCACATTCGACTTGGTTTCAGACGATTCCGACCACCGATTCCGCCACCACAACATCTACAAAAACTGCTTCACACATTCAAATACCTTTGCATGCAGAAGAATCATGAATGAGTGGAAATTCCTTGCAAAACACCTCCCAGATTCCATCCACGTTAAAGCCTACGAGCACCGCTTTGATTTACTCCGCGCCGTCATCGTCGGCTCCCCCGGTACACCTTACCAGGACGGTCTCTTCTTCTTCGACATCGCGCTCCCCAAAAATTACCCATTCAAACCACCAAAGATCCATTACATCTCATTCGGGTACCGTCTCAACCCGAATCTCTACCCTGACGGCACTGTTTGCGTAGGCATTCCCAACACATCGGAGGGTAAAAAATTCAAGAACTGGAGCGCAGGTAGTTCGTTACTTGAGGTTTTACTTTCTATTCAAGCAATCGTTCTTAACGAGAAGCCACTGTTTAACGATCCTGCCTACAGTATTTCAGATTACTCTCTAGAATCCAAGGCATGTGATTACAATGCATCCGTTTTTGTTTTCACATGCCACTCCGCTATTTGCCTCATTCGAAAACCACCTAAGAACTTCGAGGAATTTGTGAAACAACACTTTCGTGAACGAGGACATGTTCTTCTCGGCGCGTGTAAAGAATACGCGAATGGCCGCGTCAGGGCTGGACATTACGGTTATAACAGCAGCAACAATAACATGGCGGTTATTGAAGTTACAGAGTCTTTTCAGGGGTCGTTACAAATTGTTTACCGGAATATGTATAAGAAGTTTGAAGAATGTGGCGCTTCATTGGAGGGTTTCGTTGAAGAGTTGGAGGTGGAAAAACAAGTAAAAGGCAAGAGATCCAAAGGTGTGAAAGGAATGTTAAAGAAAGCTATGGGGAAGATCAAACAAGCTTTGGGATGGTAGAAGAAAGCGAAGAAGAAGAACACTGCATAAAATATTTTACTTGTTTTCTGGTGTGATGTCTGTTTGTTCAAATTCTGCTATTGTATTATCTTTTCATATGTTTTTGTATTACCTTTGAAAATGTTTTGATTATGTCTAATTAAAATAAGATGTAATTTATTAAAAGTATAAGGCAAAATGGAAATGCTATAATTTGAATATAAGTCTTATTTTTGTAATTAAGTTCTTTTGTTAAATTATAATTAATGTCAATGAAAATATATTACATTAGTGGACAAACAACATAATCATTAAATAATTAGTAATTTTGATTTTTTACTTAAAAAATTATTAATAAATTGATCATTGTAAATAAGTTTTTTTTGTTAAACTCAATATTACAGATTATATTATTCTAAAAAATTTCCTATAATTTCTTGAACATCATAAGCATTAATCAATATCTTCATAAAAAAGAAGTTCAATATCACTTCTCCTCTCTTAACTTTTGTCACCTTAATCAATGGTTCAAGTTGGTGTGATAGAAAAATAATTGACAAATTAATGTTCATTTATATGCTTATATTAAAGTTATAAGTATTTTTGTTTAAATTATATTCTAAAAATCATGTTTAATTATGTACTGCTATGTTTATGATTATATAACTGTCTATATGAAAAATGTTGTTTTTAATAAAAATATAAAATTTACTATGTTTTCGAAATAATAACTTACCTATATTTTTAGGTCTAATCAGACGATGTTCTTTAAATTAAATTTATATTTTATTTTAGTTTTATATTTATTAATGTTATATTTTGGTACCTTGAATATTGTTTCGATAGTTAAGTTAATTATTTTTGTTAACTATTAAAGAAAAATATATATTAAATTGTGATGTGAGAATGCGACAAAAATCAAATAGCGAGTCAGTAATTTAGATAAAGGACTGAATTAAAATTTTTTGGTTAGTTAATGGATCAAACTAAGAGTATCTTTAGTGGGAGTAAACTAAATGGGTAAACTAAGATACTTTTTGTGGGTCCAAAGTGATTTGTAGAATTTAAAAAATTTATAGTTGATTTGAGTAGTTTTTATTTTAATGATGGTTGTCTATAAGAAACCAAAACTTGACCCCACATGGTATTAAATGGTTAATAAAAATCTATTATTTATGTTAAATAATTAGTTAGAGTACGTTGCTTGTGTAGAACACGTAAACTAGTTTTAGAGCATCCCATATGTCATGTCAGCATTACTATAATGCAAATTACTTATTAATAACGTAAGCTATAAAAAATTTTGGTTTAACAACCTTGCACTAAAGTTGCTCTAAGACAATAGCAAAATTGTGATTAAAATAATTAAATTGCAAAGTAATTAGACTAGAATTTCATATCATTTAAACAATAACATATTAGTTACTATAATAAAATTTAATATCAATAGAATCTTGAATTTAATGACATTAATTAGAAGATGATTTGAAAAAAAAAATTTTAAATTGGGTCAAGTTTAAGTAAATTATATGGCAATCTTCCATGAACAAAATTATTAGTTTCACATTAATTCTAACTATTTAATCAAATAAATGGCCTAATAGAAAAGATTAACAAATCACAAAACTCTAAAAATATTTATTTACCTATGAATAGTCAAAATCATAGCTAGTAACCTGATGAGAACAAAAAGAGGCAAAAATAACGATTCTTTCACCATAGCCTCAAAACAAAACAAAAAAACAAAACAATAATTTAATTAAAATAATAAAAGTTGAGTTCATATACTCTATAATAAAAACTTTAATTTATACTTTGAGACTTACCAAAATCTCAGGAACTTTATCCTCTTGTATCCCCATACTTTTGAAACATATATTCTACAAAAATAAATTCATCAAAATTGAATAAATAAATTATACAAAATTGAACCCAATTGTAATCACATATACTATGATTTAAATAACTTTAAGTATTTTCAGTCACATGACATGAAATCTAGAATTAAAAGGATAAAGAGTATCATTCAAATCTCTAAATATCAAGGTTGGATCTTCATAAATTTTTTGAAGAGGTTGGATCTTCACAAACTTGCAGGGCCAAAACGAAAGTGTATGAATTAATCTCAAGGTTGGATCTTCATAAGTTTCATGAAGAGGTAAGCAATTGTTGGAAATGACGAGTCGGTGAAAAAATGGGTTAGGAATTGAAAATTATTAGTTTGAGGGAGATGGGTTTGTGAGAAAAGTTAGAGAGTGTGGTGATGGAAGAGTGAGGGTGAAAATTAGAGATTTTTGTATAGAGTGGTGGTGAAAATCAAAGTTTTTCACATAGAGAAAGAATGAGAAGAGAGAAACACTAAGGGAGAAGAAAGAGGTCTGTGGCGGCTAGGTATTTTTGGAAGAGAGAGTAACATTGTTTCATATATTATAATACAATATTCCATGTCAATTAAAAACAAATCCAAGTCAGCAAAACTAATACCAACTGTAGTGCCATGTCTGCACAACTTAATAGATTTTGAAAAAATTTAACGGAAAGGACCAACGTGACTAACATAATTTGATTTAAGAGACTTAAAACCAACGTTTATTAAATAAGGGACGACGAAAGTGAAACCTCAAATTAAGTTACGAGACCAAAGAATGCATTAAGCTATTTTTTTAACAACAATACTGATATATGGTATGCAAACTTTTAAATTATTTTAAAATGAAAAAAATAGAAATCTACATAGTTGTCATGTGATATGACAATGTTACCATTGCCAACCTTACATCACTGCCATATTACTATCATCTTTGCATAAGAAAATCAATGCATTTGAAGGACTCAGTTGAAGCACAAAAATGATGAAAGAGACTAAATACAAAATAATGTGAAGATCCGTTGGTAGATGGTGTTTTCAAATTTATCTTTTATAAATTTAACTTAACTTATGAATTGTGAAAATAAAAGTGTTAGAAGTTGTAATTTAGTGTTCTCTTAAAACTAGCATTTTATTATGTTGAAATAGCTAGTCTGAGGTATAAGAATAATTTGTATCTGATTATGTCGAGTACAACATTTAGTTTGTATTTCAAAATATTTTGCGCATGTGTCAAATTGTATGGTTTCAGGTTTGAGCTTTAGTTGTCTATGTAAAAGGTTTTGTATGTTGTAAACATCAAGAACTTCACTCAATACGAATCCTAATTTTCTAGTTGCGATTCATAGAGAATCTATAATGGAAAACGAAACAACAACATCAACGCAATTACCATCTAATCTATTGGTTTTCAAAGGGGAGAACTACGAACGGTGGGTTGGGCAGATGAAGGTCATCTTCATATTTCAAGATGTGTCTGAAATCGTGAATGATGGAATACCGACATTAGAAGCGAATGCAGATGATGTTCAGGAAGCCGCGCATAAGGAATGAAGAAAGAAAGATGGAAAAGGTTTGTTCTTGATTCACCAGTGTGTTGATTCTAATGCATTTAAGAAGATTATTTAAGAAGAAATGGTGAAAGGAGTGTGGGACAAGTTAAAGATCTTACCCGAAGGAGATTAAAAGTTAAAGAGGGCGAAGTTGCATACATTGAGAAAGCAATTTGCTATGACTCAGGTGAAGGAAGATGAATCATTCTATGAATATCTTTCATATATGGTGGTGTTAACGAATCAGATGAAGTTATGTGATGAATAAATCAATGATTTGCAGAAGATTGAGAAAGTGCTAAGATCTCTGACTACGAAGTTTGATTATATTTCTGTGTCAATTAAAGAGTCAAAGAATCTAGATGAGATGAAGTTAGAAGAACTTCAAGCTTCATTAGAGGCCCATGAGGTTGAAACAGAGGAACTCAGAAAGGGAGAAGGTGGCTCAATAGGCACTACAAGCAAGATTCAACAAAAAATCTAGGAAATATAAGGGAAAGAATCTTGCTAATGATGAGAAGTCAAGAAAGAACTCAAAGAATCACTTTAATTCGATTAGGAAAGGCATGGGCAACAAGTATTCTGGGAAGAAATTTGACATGAAGGAGATGAAATATTTTAACTCTCAAGGATTTGGTCATTATGTTCGAGATTGTAGAAGAAAAAAGGAAGCATAAGCGAAATATAGTGATGAAGTGCAGTATGCATATAATGAGGATAGTGATTCTGATGATGTGTTACTCATGGCCAACACTCAGTCGAACATTGAGCAAACCAACATGCGGTACCTAGATTCAGGATGAAATAACCACATAACTGGTAATAAAACCTGGTTCACCAAGCTAGATTAATCAGTTGAGAAAATGGTAGAGTTTGGAGATGGAATGCACGTTGCATTAGGTGGAAAAGGAGATATCTTTGTTGTCAGAAATGATGGTCGAAAATCCAGCATCTTGATGTGTTGTATGTACCATCGATCACAAGTAACTTGATAAGTGTGGGTCAATTACTTGCAAAAGGATACAACATGGAGATAGAAAAGAATCATTTGAAGATGTATCAAATCGATGGAATGTTGATTTTGAGGGTACTCTTATCATACAGCAGGACCTTTAAAGTAGAGATCAACCCAGTTGATCACAAGTGCCTTGCTTCGACTGTAAAAGAAGACAAGAAATGGATATGGCATCATAGGAATGAACATCTCAACTTCATAAGCTTAGATATGCTCAACTAGAAGAATATGATGTATCACTTACCTTAGGTGAACGAACCAATTCAGTGTGTGAGAAATGTTGCAAAGCAAAGCAGTCTAGGAAAGCATTCAAGCATAAATTGCCAATGATGTCAAAAGAAAAGCTAGAGTTAGTTCACTCTGATGTGTGTGGACTATTTGAAGTGAGGTCGAATGAAGGTAACTACTAGTTTTTAACCTTCATAGATGAATTCACTAGACATATGTGGATTTATCTTATTAAAAGAAAGAGCGAGGTATCCATATAGTTCAAGAAGTTCAAATTGCAAGTCAAAAAGCAAAGTCATGCAAGTTGAAGAATTTGAGAATTGATGTTGGATGTGAATACACTTCTTGAAAATTTTCT